GAGTATATTTAGCACTGGAGTGGATCTTAGGTATTATGTACTCTAGTCCCTTCACGTTATTGTTCAAAATGAGGAAACAGCTCCAGAGAGACACCAAATGACACGCATCAGATCCCAGACCCCAGGTCTGAGTCTCTGCAGTCTCCCTTTTGTGCTGTCTTCTTAGCACACTGGAAGTGTAAATATATGTGTGCCACCAGAAGGACAATTCCCAGGATATCCGATACCTTGCCCATCTAGGGGACTTTAATTTACAAAGTAATTTCCCAAATGTTTTCTTGTTTGCCCTTTATTATATCCCCACTTAATGGACAAGGAAGACATTAACATTACTATATTCCAATGGCAGATTTGAAGCAGAGAGCTTTTGCTGTTTGCCTGAGTGCACACACCTCATTTACACTTTTTTCCCCATTGTAAAATGGATTAGTAAAACCGAACTCATAGGGGTGTCCTGAGAAGCAAATGAGATTGAATGGATAATGCATATTGAAATAGGGGTAGAGTTCTTATTAATGGTGTTATAGGCTGAATTCTGCCGATGCCCAAGATCCCGTCCCTGGTGTGCTCCTCTGAATGATTTCATCCTGAGTGTGGGCAGGATATGTGAAAAGGAAGGGGCCATTCCTGAGACATTGTCTAGATGAGGCAAAGGGATTTCATAGGTGGAGTTAGGTCCCCAATCAGGTCACTTTTATTTAAATTAAAGTTTAACTTAAAAGGAGATCATTCTGGGTCAATACAACCTAGAAGAAGGAGCCCTTTCTAGGGTTGGGGAAACAACAAAGACCTTTCTGTGTTGACCTGGAAGAAGAATGGCCATGTGTGAGGGGCCATATGGCCAGGACCTGAAGGTGGCCTCCAGGAGCCAGAGTGGGTCCTAGCAGTCAACATGAAAGCAGGGACTGCAGTCCCCCAGTAGCTGGGACCTGAACTTTGCCAACCCCTAGGACCTTGGAGAGGACTCAAATCTCAGATGAGATCAGAGGACCAGACAACACTGATTTCAGCGCAGCAAGCCCCTGAGCAGAGAACCCTGCCATGCCCTATGGGGACTCCCGAGGAAACCTGAGACAATAAATTTGTGTGGTTTTAAGTCTCTGATTTCTGGTGATTTGTTACATGGCAACAGAAAACTAAAATATATAATAACTATTATTAGCATAAATAGCTGTTGCTTATGATGATGAACAAGATGGTGATAATGGTAATAGCAGTAAAAGTTGAAAATAAAGCTTGAGTTTTAATTCACTTTACTACAGATTGCATTTTATGGCTAGAATTGTGTCCCTTTTAGCCACAAGGTATCATAAGCTTTTAGCTGTCTGAATAATTAGGAAAAATCTGTGCTAGTGAGAAAGGAAGGAAAAATGGATCTTAGGTATCTAGCTGGATGTCTGCCTTGCCTCCCTTCCTGGATTGTTAAAAAGTATAATTAGCTGGACTCCAGGCACACACCTACCATCCTAGCTACTACTCAAGGAGGATTATAAATTTAAGGCCAGATGGGCAACTTAGCAAGAGCTTGTCTAAAAAAAAAAAAAATACATATTGTGTCCTAAATCCAATTAACACTGGATGGTCATGATCTTCAAATTTATTTAGGAAAACTTTGACAATGGCATTTGGCACTAATTTGGGAGAAAAACAAGAAGAATAATGACAGCTCAGAAGTTGTTCAAAATGGAATCACAACAGTCAGCTGCAGTTAAGACATGGACTCAGGTTTTGGCAGTGAGCAGAGGGAGTGCCCAAGGTCAAGTCCAGGAAATACAGTGCAAGTTGGCTTTTCACTAGGGCCTAATGACTGTCTTGTGTGAAGGGAAAGGTGCAGAGGGGCAGGGTTTGTGGAGGCGAGTGTCCCCGGCCCAGGGATGAACCATGGTGTTGGGGCAGTGGTAGGGAAGGAGGCCTGTCCCTGTGATGAGGCAGAAGTTGGTCCTCGGTCCTCTTTTCTAGAGTCCCATGGACAGTATTATCCCCTTCATGTTCATTCCATGAATTCCTGTGTGTACTCACTTCCCATGAGAAGTACAGATGTTCACCACAGGATATGGGAAAAGTAAAAGCTCTGGTTTCTCCTGCACAACTCCACTGACACCTATACCTTCAGGACGCCCTAAAAGGTCAAAGTGGCAATGCTTAGTATGAGGTCAATGAAGTGACTGCATAGGCAGCTGGGGTAATGGCCATGGTTATTTGTGCATACTTTCATTGCTCCCAGCTCGACTATGAACACCTGAAGTCAAAGGCCACAATTTTTCTCTGCTTTGTTTTATATCCCATTTGCATAGTCCGGCGGGTGTCACATAAAAGGTGTTGTATCAAATTTTGGACTGAATAATTACCAGTAACTTGGAGAAAGTCCAGGACAAAGAGCAAATGTCATTGTTTTCAAAGAAGTATGCATATTTTGTGCGTGTGTGTGTCTGTGTGTGTGTGAATCTCTGTGTGTGTGTTTATCTATACAGGTAGACTTGGATGCAAGGGACCCATCATCTTGTCCTGCTAGCTAACAATCTCATTTTTCTCCAGCATCTATTCCTAAAAGTGAAATATTGTTTCTTCTCATAAACACTTAGGGTTTTCCACCAAGAGGAAAAACAAAATGAAATAAAAAGATTCTGCCGTTAGCATACAGTCTGACTTGTCACATTTGCTAACGTGCCCATACACATGGTCAGCAGGTCACATCCTGACCACTGTGGTGAGCTGGCCGCAGTGTGGCCACTGGCAGCCCCTTGGGTGTGCCAGAGCTGTGAGGAATTCTACTGAGCAGCTACTCAGTGCTGGGGAGCCCAGAGCCTAGGGTTTGTCCCTCACACACGCACACCTGCTCCTGCATGCCTGTTATGAGCCACATGTGAAGTGGGAACAGAGAACACAGTTCTGGCACTGGGTGACACTTCTGATCTCACTGAAATTCTAAAATTCTACAGGTACAGAGCTTCTCTTACTTAAAGATGAGATTCATGTCAAAAATAGACCTAGAAATAGGTCTATTTCTATCAGGTCACGTCTATCAGAATCAAAGTGATAAGATCTAGTTATTATTTTAGGATTATGAAAATCTGAATGTCAGAAATGCCTCATGTTTAATGGGATAAGAAAAACACATTTCTATTTCTTCAAAGGGAAAACATTTATGTCTGATCTGAAAGGGATAGCAGAGTGAAAATTGACCTGTTTCTGTTCACTTTATAACCAGACTCTGTTTGTCTGCCTGTAAATCCCATCATAAGAAACATCTAAAATTTCTAAGGACAAAAATGCTGAAACTGAGATTCTTTCCAGAGTGTGTTTTTACATAAAAACAAACTGCCCTATGTGCACGTTCTCATCAAAATGATTCCCAAATGCATATGAAATCCACCACAGAATTGGACTATTAGACAGTTTTATTTCTACCTCATAAAAATATTTCAAAACCTGTGGGAGTTTTATGAAACCAGTGCTCATCAATCCATATCAGTCCCAATTTAGGGGCCCATGAGACACATCTCAGAGCAATTAGGGCTGTTAATTTTGAACCAAACCGTCACAGAGTGTATGCTTCATTATCTGTGGGTGATAGATTATCTAAACCCTGATCCTCCTCCAAAATCTTTGTGAATTTGTGGGTCCATACATCTGTGTGTGTGTGTGTGTGTGTGCATGGTAAATAAATAATATGTCTATAAAATGAAGACTAATACATACATGTTTCAAATGTAAAAGTTTATTTTGAAGCACCACTAAAAGTACCAGTCCATACTCCTCTCCTGGCTTCTACTTCTTGTAGAAGTGAAGCTGTTTGAGCCCTGAGCTGACTCTCAGCTGCCACACACGGGGCATTTAAATGTCTGGTTCAAAATCCCTCTTTGTTCAGCTGTTCTCTTCTTCCTCAGATATCAGTGTTTTCTTTACTGTTTCCAGGTAAAGGTAAAATAAAGTAGCCTCAAATGTATTTTTTTAGCCATAGCTCAGCTGTACTGGCTCCTCTGCTCTAACCCTCCACCCCCACTCCCATCACTCTGAGTGTGTGGGGCACCTGCCCAAGGGGTCTGGACAGGGACCGTCCCAGCCCTGGAAGGGTCAGAGGAGTGCACAGTGCACAGCCTCGACAGCAGGATAGCAGGAGAGGAATACAGACACAAAGCAGAGCCAGTTCATCTTGTTGGGCCCCTCCTTCCAAGTCTGATTTTTGCAAAAGGATTCTGAATTAATTCCTTTTTTTTTCTTGAGACAGTTTCTTACTATGTAGTGCAGGTTGACCTTAAACTCACTGTGTAGCCTAGCCTGGCCTGGAACTCAAGGTGATCTTCCTGTTTCAGCCTACTGAGTGCTGGAATTATAGATGGAATTATAGCCACACCTGGCTCCTACTTCCTTCTTTTTTTAAAAAAAATTTTTCCTGATACTGAAGACTGAGCCCAGGGCCTTCATACTGAACAGCACTCCCAGCCTTTCTGAGACAGGGCTTCACTAAGTTGCTAAAGTTGCCTAGGTTGGGCTCAAACTTTCAGTCCTGCTACCTCAGCCTCCCAGAGTGCTGGAATTACAGGTATGTACCACCACTTTGGCTAGAATAGTACCTTCTTAGACTCAGTTGATTTTCTTAGTAGAAAGAGCACACCCCTGCCTCCCCCTCTCCCTTAAACTTTTATTCCATGAACTACATCAATGTCGTTGGACACCTGGTGACATCACAGCCGTCATGACATTCCAGCACAATACACGACTCACATGTTTGTGGTAATGCTGGTTTGGGCAAACCTATTTCTTGGCCAGTCACACAAAGCACAGCACTTGCCTTTCCATAGAGCACATAATATTCAATAATGATAACTAGCGCTGCATTACTCGTTTATGTATTTACTGTGTGATATCTAGTATTATAGATAATTGAAGCAGCTGAATACATAGACATTTTCTTTGCGTGTGATGGGGTGACAGGTATGTATGGCAGGAGAATGCAGTCCCAGGCCTCTGGCTCAGGCTGTCTTCTCCTCTTTCCTCAGGAGCCTTGGAGCACGCAGCACATCCCGGCGCTGTTTTCAGCCTTCTGCGGCCTGCTGGTTGCATCATCTTACCATCTAAGCAGGCAGAGCAGTGACCCATCCGTGCTCCTGTGAGTAGCCCTGTACAGTGGCCTCTTTCCCATGCTGTGGGTGCCATTCCTGCAGCTCTGGCTGCTCCCTGGAGTGGGGACTCTGCCTTGGGCACTCATTACACATGCTGGTCACTCACTGCCAGTGGCCTTGGGTCAGGTGAGCCCAGGGATCCTCTGAGTGCACCGAATCCTATCACCTTGTGGAGACCAGACTTGTACCTCTGAAAGGAGGTTTGTATTTTTTTTCTTTTCTTTTTGTTTCCTTTCACTTTAAATGAAGATATATGTTAGAGTTTCAAAATGCATTAATATAATCTTTAGTCCCTTGAAAGTATAAATATATACTTGGGGACTGGAAATCCTACATGATGTGGAAGTAAGTTTCAGGTGTTGATCGCCTGTGAGTTGTCCAGACTTACAAAAGATTGTGACTGAAGATAACTCTGTCTGGGGGCTGGAGACACTACAATTTGGGGCTGCTAGGATGCATTAAGATGAAAGACATAGAATATGGTGATAGGAAAAATTAGACATGGTTTGCACAACTTTTAGTGTCAAATGTGTTGCTAGGGTGTTGACTCCTGCTGGGACTGTTTGTGAGGAGGGAGCCCGGTGGGCTGCAGAAGAGGACACCCTGCTCCTGACAGGCAGGTCACCCATACCCCTAAGGTACTAGACTGATGTCATTAGGAAGAAATTTAAAAATCACAGCCTGATCTTCAGAAGCTCTTGCCTGTGTACCACTTGTTACTGTGAATTTCGGAATGGAGAGAGCACTTGCTTTGGTCATTTGTGGGTGTGAAGTCTAAGGAGAAGTTGTTGATGTCTACACTGTCCCAGGCATGTATTTTAAAAGGTAAAACCAGTATGTTTTTCCACTTTTAGGTCTTTTTTTCAATGCAGATTTTTTCCTAAATTTTTACATCCAAGCCTGGAAGAGTCGTCCACAGACCCTCTCCCCCAGAAGATGAAGGATTCGGTGGTGAGACACTGGTATTTCATAGCCTGTTCTTGTGGGAGGGACTCACTTGTCAGCTGAGCTGGAGGTCTCGGGCTCTGGCTAGATGGGCATGAGAAGGACAGGGCAGGAGAAGGCACCTGGTAGTGGCCCAGATCTGGCATGCAGGCCATTGAGCTCCCAGCCAGATGCAGACCTTTGGAGCATCTCAAAGGCAGATGCTTTAGGCCCTTGGCACCCTTGGTTCTTAGCAGTAGCAGCTTCCTTGGATATTATCCCAAACCATGCTCAGTCAATTATGTCATTGCTGGCACCCACCAGCAGGTAGGCTCTACACAAATAAAAGCTTGCCGTGTAAACATTCAGCCTACCTGCACTCCTGCTGGGCTCTATACGCAGCTCCTCCACATCATGCCACAGCCTCACATGGGCTTGCAGCACCACTCTGAGGGTTTTTGATTCAAGGTTGACATTTGTATAACTCTTGCTAGAGCCCTTGGGCTTACAGTGGTGTGGCAGAGAAGGGAGTGACCATATTGGCTGGAACACATACTGGGTAGAAAAGGTAGGAAGTAGTGAGTCCTAAGGCTGTTTCCTATGCACCAGGAAAATGGCTCTGGGCTGTTTTAAACATCCTTTGAGCAGATATGTCACCTTTAGCATCTACTTTCATTAATACCTAGAAAAGCGATGCTCATTGGTTTTGTAAGCTCCCATACATTAGACTATTGAACTTGAAGCAGTCTGATGTCTTCAGTTGATGCTTTTTCTGTGTGTTTTAGGAATGACAGATAAAAGGAACAGCAGTCAATGGTCTGTTGACTGCATCTTCCTGCAGCTAGGAACTGTGTCTCCTAGGTTTGGTCCACAGAACCAGTGCATGACTCATAGCAGGCAGTCAGTATATTCCATCAAGTTTACCCTGATGAGTTGCATTGATGAGTCTATCATTTCAAGACAATGTACAGCCAACATGATCGTATTTTTTAAAATGCATCATGAGCCCTGAGAACCTTTGGGTGTGGTCACAATTCAAGCTAAACCTTTCAGGCTTCTTTGTCATTACAAGGGGATCAAGGGACATATTGATGAATACAAGGAAGGGTGTAGGGCCAGGGATTTAGCTCAGTGGTTCCGCTGCCTGCCTCGAAAGCACAAAGTCCTGAGTTCAATCCCTGGTACCAAAAAAAAAAAAAAAAAGAAGGGTGTGGCTTGTGAATTTTAAAAGTAAAGACACATTTTAAAGCAGGGTAGGAAGTGAAGGTGCTGGGGGTGATAAGGTGGCAGCAAGGGGAGGAGAAAGACATTGATATTCAAACATAGCACCCGCAGCCTGGCTGCTTCTCATATTTACACCAGGAGATTTTGGCGGGGAGATCAAACCGACATTCCCAGGCCAGTTTCCGTGAAACCGTACAGTGGCCCCAAAGTCTCCCCGTGGATAGCTGAAAAAAGCTGTGTCCTCCCTCCCCCAAGTCTTCCTTGATTTTGACTAATGAAGATGCCTTTCCACTTGCTGGTTTATTACAGTAAAAAATAAGATATGAATTTCCAATAAATATGACAAGAAAGTTGGCTAGTAGACCCTGACTTCATTTCATTAGTATAATTAAATGTGATGGGTTAGGTGTCTCCTTTCCTGGTTTTCATATCTTTTGAAATGCTTTGTATAATGCAGAGCATTACTTGTTAGGTGATCTAATATGATGTCTGTGTTCATTCTCTGAAAAGTCTGTGATCTAATTATAATATTTTAATGGGAATATCAAATTCAGCTTTTACAGGTTGAAATATTACACCTTTTGTACCACAGTGGAAATACAAAATTTTCCTCCTTGTTTTCTCTTATGGTGCTTCTCTGTCATTCTTTCTGCCCTCTTATTTTCTGTCTGTCTGCCTGTCTCTTTCCATAAATTTTGATTTGAATGAGAAGCCCCTGGGAAACCTCCTTAGATGGCAGTTTTCTCACCCTCCCTCCACCTTTTGAATCTCAAGGCCAGTATAGGGTCTGGGGATTTGTATTTGGACCAGAATGTTCTTCCGGGGCTTCTGCACAGAGCGTCCACACACTGCACCTCTAGAAATGTTGATCTGGAAAGAGCATAAGGAGTCATACACTCAAAGCTCATAACCAAAATTTCTTCCTCTGTCTTTTTCCATATGCCTTGTCCACATAGCCTGTCAATTTTCACCCTCCCTCACTCATCTTCATCTGTGCCAACATTCTTCATCATGTTTACATCAGTCACGTTCATTCTGTTTAACTTCATTGCTAGAAATCCACACTTTTAAAATAAAAAACTCCTAATTTTTATGTGTAAAATTCAGACAGCTTCTTCTAAACCATTGCTTGTAACATCTAGCTTTTCCCAGTTCCCAACTTGCTGTCCAAACCTTTTGGGTGTGGAGTGCTGGAACTTCTTAGGCTTCAAAGAAGGAGTGAGTATGAGGTGCTAGACAAATGCCATGGCACATTAAAAATGTTTAATATACTAAGGAAGAATATGCTTCATGGTTAAACATACATCAACTTACCATTAAAATAGAGAGCAAAACATTAACATTACTGAATATTGCTTTAGAAGTTCTGGCCAGAGTATGACAGGAAAGAGGAAAACAGGTAGATGATATTATTATAAGTATATAGAATGCACAGAAAAACTTACTAAAATCACTAATGATTAATCAGAGGATTCATAAATACCACAAGAGAAAATTTAGAAAACCAAGAACATTTTAACATACCAGAATAATCTTAGAAAATATGATCCAACTCACAATAGCAACAAATATGAATTGACAGTGGGAGTGATTTTAACAAGCAGTGTCACAAATAAAGGAAATGGCAGTGGTCTATTAAAATGTAAATGAAGCCCTGCATAAATGGCCATGGATAGATTTCACATGATTTTGGACAGGAAGACTGAGATTTATAAAATGCCAATTCCTCTAAAATAAATTTATAGGTTAAATATTGTTCAAAACAGTTCCAAAGGAATTGTAGTCACAGCATTAGAAAAACGATTCTAAGGTTTATATAGAAGAATAGCTGTTAATAGTTTAAAACAATTTGAAAGACTAGGAAAAGGGAACTTAGCACTTTGAGATAAGAGTATATTCTAAAGACTGAATAAGAACAACCTAGGAGACCTATCCAAGATTAAAGAATGGGATTAGTGGATCAGAGAAACACAGCAAGGAGACAAGTTATTTATATGAAGGTATTATGTGAAAATTAAATGTCACAATCAAGAATTGATTATTCAATGTATGGTGTTTAGCAGTGAGAGAGAAAAGAGAATTTTATGTATTAATCCCTCACAGATACCAATGTAAGTCAGAGAGGGATTAAAGAGTTTTAAAAAAAGAGAGAAGAAGTGGTCAAGAAATCAAACAGGACCTTTCCATTTCTGGTATTTGGCAGATAAATTATCATAACCAATTCTCTGCTGATTAAAAGCAAAAATTCTGATTAAAAGACCAAAAAGTCCATCTTAAACAAGGAAAAAACCTATGAGAAAACAGTAAGAAACTGTCAGGTAAGAATGTGAATCAACAGTGGACCTGGGAAGTAGGCTGGAAGCTTTTCTGTCCCACAGTCTGCCCAGTGAGGCAGGGACACTCAGAACTTGAGCCTTGTGTTTCAGCTCCAACTGTAGAGAGCACAGATTAAAGCTCAGACCTGCCAAGTGGGGATGTCCAGTGCCAGGCCAGTCATTGCCAGGCTGGGACACTGAGGAGCCACAGTCCTGGGGTGAGGAAGAGCCATAAGGTGGCAGCTCCTTGTCCTCAGTGCCAGACATGAAAGGAGCCCCACTTGAGCCGAGTGTGATGACAGGGAGAAAGGAGAATGGACACCAGACCAGCACAGTGAGGCTGCCGTGTACCACAGATGTGAGCTGGTGCAGCGCAGATAAATAACAAGCAAGTTCACATCCAAAGAGTGACAGACAGATGCTCTCCAGTCAAGATGAAGCATGTGAGCCTGAAGACAGTTGCTTGATATTATGTCAAGTCTTGTGAAGAAAGTAAATGCCAAGCTAGAATTCTGTACCCAGTTAAAATAAATATTGTGAATAAGGGCCAAATAAAAACATTTTAGGCAAACAAAAGCTGAGAGATCCTCTCTAACTATAATTCTGAAGGGTACTTTTCAACAGAAAGGGATCTTGGATAGATGATCTGATTTGCAAGAATGAACAAAGAGGAGAGCAAAAAGATACATTTGTAAATCTAAATACATATTAGTTGCGTAAGACTGTAATGAGAGTGTGTGGTTGGCTTTAATTAGTACAGTCAGTATGGAAATCAGTACAGTAGTTCCTTAAAAAACTAAAAATAGAACTAACCATTTGATCTACTTACATAACACTTTTATATATACCTGAAAAAATTAAGTCAGCATACTGTAGGAATATCTGCATACCTGTATTTATTGCAGGACAATTCACAAGAGCCAAGATATGGAAACAACATCTCTTAACACATTACTCCATCCCACATTTTCTTTTTCATCTATCAGCTGATGGACACCTAGACTGTTTTCATATCTCTAAGGATGGAATATTATTCAGTCATAAAGAAGAACAAAATCATATCATTTACAGAAAAATTGCATGGAACTGGAGATCTTCATGTAAAGCAAAATAAATCAGACTCAGAAAGTTAAATATTACATATTTTCTCTCTTACATGGGATCTAAATAATTAAGGATGACTTATATAAAGGGAGACTATTAGAGAAGAAGAAAGAAATCAGGGAGGAAGAAGGAAAGAGCAAGGAGAGAATGGGAGGTGGAAATCATCAAAGTATACTATATGCATGTACCAATATGCCACATCAAAACTATTATTCTGTGTACTAATAAAGAAAAGTAAAGTAGCACTGAGAATACATGATTGCAATAGCATACAGTTTTGACAGGAAGCGATATAGACTCCAAATATTTAAATTCTTATAATTTTGGGGAGAAGAATGAAAATACTGATTAACTTGACTGATATATTTGCGTGTCAGAATGTTTGTTTCAGCTATTAAAGGACTAGAGACAGAGCATATAGCTTTCAACTCCATACAGAGGGAAAAAGGATATGATAAAAAATAGATGTTATTTGTAAATAACAAAACAAAATTGCACTCCTATGTCCCATTGTACTTAAAAGCCAATTCCCAGTGGATTATAAACTCAAATATGAGAAAACAAAATCTGAGAACATGGAGAATCCTTTTTATAGAGGAGACTGCCTTTATGATATCAAGATAGGACAAAAAAATCCAAATTCATTATGATTTTACAAATTCATAAATGATGACTTCACTTTTATCATTTGAGATCATACAGAAGAGAGATTAAACAAATAAACCCCTGAAAAGAGAACTTGTGTTCCCAGGGGAGATCCCCAGACTACACAGCCACTAACAAGGCCTTTGGCAAGACAGTGGAACAGCTGGGACACATGTGCCACTGTCAGGAATGCAGAACAACTACTGTGGAAAACAGTTGGGCATTTTCTTAGAAAGCTGAGCCTCAACCTGCCAGATAACCCAGCCATTCTACTCCTAGGTGTTTACACAAGAAAAAAGAAAGCACATGTACAGAGACATGTCCATGAATACTTGTAGCAGCTTTACTTACGTTGATAAAAACTGGGAACAACCCCAAATGCCTATCTGCAGGTGAAGAGATAAACATATAGTGGTATGTCGATACAAAGGAATGCTACCCAGTAATGAAAAGAAATAAACCTTTGCTAAAGACAACATCAATGAATCTCAGAATAATTACACTGAGTGAAAGAAGCCAGACCCTAAAATAGTACATAGTCTATGGTCCCATTTATATAACATTCTTCCAAATGAAAACAAACTGTAGTGATGGAGCAGATTAGTGGCCCCATGAGGACAGAGTACAGAGAGGAGTGGATTAGGCAAGGGCAGGAGAGGAAACCTTGGGGCATGATGAATGTGCTAAATTATCTCAATTATGATGATGGTTTTGTGGAGATATGTTAATTCATCCAGCTATGCATTTTAAATACATGGAAATTTACTTTATGTCAATTATATCTTAACAAAATATTTGAAAGTTATAATATGGCAAGGAAATGAATGGAAAGAACATGTAATCAAGAGAGAAAGGCTATAGTGATGGTTTGTATTTGTTTATGAAGCACACTGACAGAAATCACAATGGAATTCCAATATATTATCCAATTATGAAAAAATTACCAGCAATTGGAGCGCTAACGAACTTAGAAAGTTACCCTCCTGACCCCTTCCCCAGTGTTCCTTTTAACCAGGAGTCTGGTCAGTTGAAGATGACACAATTTGAAATTCAAATATTTGGGAAAATGTCAATCTTCCCTTTGCTTGAACATTCTGTACTTTTTACATGACATAAAACCTTGCCAATAAAATATAGGGAAATTAGTATATTTCTGTAGCCTAAGGATGCAGTGAATTAAAGAATTTTGCGCTGGGAGCAGTATGATCTTTTGTCAGTGTTTGGAATGAAAGCAGTACCTGAATTTTAGCCATTACTAACAGTCATATTCTGATGAAAAAAATGTCTGATCCCAAACATTTCATGGATTCAGAATTTAAAACCAGTGGCTTTCCATGCTGTAAAGTCAGATCATCTAAAATAAGATGTAAATGTAAAATAAGAAATCTAAAATAAGATCTAAAACTTTGATTCTTCTTATATTCAGTACTTGTATGTGAATGGTAAAATTTTGAGAGGAAATTCAACATGACGTTAGCAGGTAGTTGGTGAATCAACAGGGAGACTGTGTCTCTCTATCGAATGATTAATTAATCTAGCCGGGCCACGTGGACCATTTCCTCACCCACAGGCAGCTGGGGTCATCATTGCTCCGTTTATGTTCCCTTGGCTTCTTCCAGGCTCTGGCTGTTACTACAGGTAGCAAGCCAGCCATGTTACATTCAAGAAACTACATGTTTTAGTTTTTAAAAACCAAGAAAATAAAAAATGGGGGGAATGAGGATATATCTTTTGTACAAACTTCTGTGAGATAACATCTAGAAGAATTATTTAAGTAGGGTAATTCCTTTTCAGAAAGGGCAGTATAAATTTATTGGCTTCAGAATTTTCAGAAAACAGCATGATATCTTAAAATGATCAATAATTGTGCATTGTAGCTAATCTGCCTTCATTGAAAGAAGAGAATTGATGGTCACCCATGTCCCCTTTAGATCTGCCATTCAGCAATATTGTGTCCCACGAGGCTCCCAAGCCATTCTACATCGATCTGCTTTCATGGCATATGTCGGTCTAACTTTTTGTTTTTTCCCCAAGTCCTTCTCAGGCCACAGTTTTGTGTGGTGGGAAATAATGTGCAAGTTACAGAACATTTCATTGTCTGCATATGCTTTGTGTGCATACTGCACATATATTTAAGTAATTTGAAAGTGGCCCTTTCTCACACTTACTGGAGAATTAAAATGTAAAATCTGATCTGGTCCAAAACATAAGAAATGTGCAAAAGGCTTCTGTTTGGGGTTCTTAGGCATGGTCATGTCAAAACCTAAGCCTGAGATCATAGAGAAACCGTTAGTACCTCTTTGATTAGACCTCGGTAAGTCCAGGTCTCTCTGGGTAGTGTTCCGGGCATCCTGTGTCCTGTCTGGGTTTGTGGAAAAGAACTACATACCTCTTACTATATAAAACCACATCTTCTCTCTATAGTTAGTACTAATCTCCCAGAGTACATGTCCTTTCCTCTGCCCCTTCTGCCTCAGTCTCCCTGAAATTCCAACAGGAGCTAGTGAAAGAGGAGGTGTGTGGTGTGTCCAGGTATGTCTTGGGGACATGACACACAGGTGATAGATAGGCTAGAAAAGCCATGTACTGAGAGCTGATGTTCTGCTGTAGGGTTCACCAGTGACACAAAGCTGCTGAGAGAAGTGGGAAATAGCAGTCTTACGGGTGCTCTTCTCTTTGCAGAAGGACGTCCTGAGATCAGATCTTGTTGTCTGTTCGGTGGTCGCTGTCCTATCCTTTGCTGTGAGCGCCAGCACTGTGTTCCTGTCACTGAGAGTATGTGTCTCCTGGGCTCTTCCTCCCCATCATTGTCTCCTTGGTGACTGGGCTGGGACGGGACTGTGGGCCACTGACAAGGTAGACCAGCCAGGGGATGGAGACAGAATGCCAGGTGAGGGCATTGGACTGCACTGAGCACTCTGAGTAGTGTCCAGGAGGAACCTGGCTCACATTACAGGTGTGTATCCACCTGCTGGACAGGTGCTGACTTTGCAGGAGCAATGGTGCATCTCGTGGGACCCTCGGCGAGGATCGTTGGTGGTGGTAAGACTGGCTAGCAGTACACCATGAGTCGAGAGAGGTTACACAGAGCCACAGCGACTATGGGAGCACTGTTGTCAGTGAGGAAACCAAAGATGGTGGGCCATGTGGGGTTTTTGGCTTATGGTGCTTATTACAGTCTCTGTCTCTACACAAAAGTATGGGACATTTATGAACTCTATTTTCCATGGGGAGAAGCCTATTAGCTAAATTTGTTATTCCCTTTCTCCCCATAAGAAATGTAAAAATGTATTACAGTGGATAGAATTCTCCCAGCTTCTGTTTCCACAGGGCAGTTTCCCACCATCTTAGAGGCTCTCAATATGAAACTGTTCTTTAAGAATGGCATGGTGACACACATCGGGATGCTGAAGCAGGAGGATTGCAAGTTTGAGCCCAGCCTTGACAATTTGGAGACTTAGAGAAACCCTGTCTCAGAAATTAAAGTCTGAGGATGTAGCTCAGTGCAAAGGCCCTGGTTCAGTCCCTGGTACTGGAAAAAAAAGGGAGGGGGCAGTGGTATAATGCGTTATCCATGGGTATCCCTCCCCTGGCCTCTGGGCTACATAACACGATCTTGCCCTTTTCCTTTGCAGCCATTTCTCAGTGTGGTGCTCTTTGCCCTGGCAGGCGCCGTGGGCCTCATCACTCATCATCTGCTCCCTCAGCTCCGCAAGCACCACCCCTGGATGTGGGTCTCTCACCCTGTCCTCAAAAACAAAGAGTACAAGCAGCGGGAAGTGAGAGGTCAGTAATGCGGCCCTGTGCAGGAAGGGTGGTGGCCACTGTAACCTGCAGGGTGTGCACAGCAGCTTGGATGTGCTCTGGCAACAGGACTGCACCCTGCAAATGGAAAATGCAGAATAAAGAAAAGGGTGAGAGTGTGTCATACAAATATCCTAGTCAATCAGGACAAGGAAGTTGTAGGGGGTGAATTAGAAGTAAATTTTATTGAAATATTTATTGACTATTAGTATTGCAGAAAAATTAATTTCTGTTGTTCAGATTTGAAGATTATGCTTCCAGCTTATGCTGAAGCATGTTGCTTGACCTCACGCTATACTTCACACAATGTATGTTGGAGCTGGGGCAGAGACTGACCCTTAGCTCTTAGGCCCCAGACCCCTGAGTTTCTACAAACATGCTTTGTTCATCCAGATGATACCTGTATCTGTATTGAGTCGATTTTGCAGTTCCTCTGGGTGTAATAGTCTGGTAATTCTGACAACTTCAGAACTCTAGATAAGAAATAAATTCCTTCTAGATAAGGAATCTCTTGGAAATTTCTCTGTGAGATCTTCTTTGCTCTGCAGTTCTTGCGCTGTGCTTGAATAAACAAGAAAGAATGACTTATTCCTATTTTTAAGTAGATCACTGCTCACCAATGTAACCATGCTGTTTAATGCTGCCCAGGCTGAGCAAATTGATAGCCTGCTGTAACTTTTGTTGTGATGTGAGTTATCCAGTTGTCTCTATGCCCAAGCACGTGGTACTGAGGGCTCCAGGATTATAGGCTCAAAGACAGTGCAGGACTGTCATCTGCAATGTTAGTGGATTAGGGGGATGGAAAGGAAGGAAGGAAAATAATTTTTTAAAAATGAAGATACAAAAAAGACACTGGACTTACTGTCTAGTCTTTGCTTTAGTTAAGTAATTAAAATGTTTTTTTAAAAACCCATTTTGTTTTTTTAGAAATGCCCGCAAGTCTCAAAAGAAAGATTTGTCTTTTCCCATCACAAATAGGTTATATATTTTTTTCTAGATATACAGTGTTTACAAATATACATGACAGGTTAGGGACACTCATATAAGTTATAACATGACCTTTAAGCTAGTGAAAATGTATGTGTGGTATGGCATAATTTTGTAACAATCTAAAAGTTATGTTTTGAAGTGATTATATATCTTTTTTTTTTTTCCTGGTACCAGGGATCAAACTCAGGACCTTGCACTTGCCAGGCAGGCACAGTGCCGCTGAGCCACATCCCTGGCCCAATTTTTCTTTTTTTTTTTTTTTTTGGTACCATGATGGGACTTGGGACCTTGTGCTTTCAAGGCAGGTGGTGGAACTGCTGAGCTAAATCCCCAGCCCTATATATCTTAACAACATATCTTTTGAGTACAGTATTTTGAATTAGAGACAGTTTGTTAGAAATAAAAAGGAATTCATAGTGTAGTACCAGGAATAATGTGAACATCTCTATTTTTAAAATCAAAAGGCTTGGGATATTGATCTGGAGGGGAGGAGAAGAGGTGGAATTTAAAGCAAAGCTTTAGAAAATATTTTTACATTTGTCAAAATAATTTCTTGTGCTATCTATTGTCTTTGTTATGTTGTGTTTAGCAAAATTAAGACTTACAGAGTTCATATTCACTTAGATATCTGTTTATAAAGTTTTGTTTTGCAATCCTGATTACCTAAGCTACTATTGTGTATTCTTTGCCTTGCCTTTTAAAATGTTATTGTCCAGACATAATGCAGTCATTCATTATTGTTTTAATATGTTGTAAAATAATCTAAAATGTTTTGCTAAAAAAAAGACACTGGAAATTCTGTCCAAAATAGAGCACATCTGTGAGCTTTATCTCTGGGTGGTACCCATAGCTGCCTCAGTGAGACACAGCCCAGGTGGGGAAGCAGTGGGTTGTTGGAGGGAAATCGGGCCTCCTGTCCCTGCTGCTCACATGTGGTAGAGAAGGACAGGAAGGGGAGCTTGGGGTGCTCTTCTCATGGAGTGTTACGCTTCTCACCCACAGAACCCTTGTTCTCAGCTTAAAGATCAAGCTGGGCAATGTTTTTAATGTCCTGTACAATTTCAGGTGCTACTTAAATGAAAATTATTATCATGATACAAGCTGAGAGAAGACAGACTCCAAGTGGGTTCCATGTGTAATGAGACATCCCACAATTCACTGGGAGAGAAAGTCCCCCCCGCAGCCCCCGCAGGTGGCCACTGGGGCACACACAGAGAAGCCTGAGAAGAACTAGTTTCTGCACTGTTGAGAGCCTGCTTCCCATTCAGTTTTCAATTTTTAGGAAGACTGAGTTCTGGTGAAATTAGTGGAGTGTTTAGGGTTTATTATTTTGCCATCATTGGTAAGTAGTCAGTGGAGATTTGCAGTAAGAAGCTTTAACTCTGAGAATTGCACATCTATGTGATCTATATACAAATGTGTACCTGTACTTTGAAGTAGACCTATGCCCAGACCTTTCCCTGTACCTGCATGTATACCTTCATCTTTGTGCTTTGTTCGTTTATTTTTGTGATACTGGGGACTGGACTAAGGACCTTTGTTCTGAGCTGCATCCCTAGCCCCTACCTTTTATAATTTTGAGACTGAGTCATGCTAAGTTGCCCAGGGTAGGCTTGAACTTGTGACTCTCCTGCCTCACTCTTCCAGAGTGCTGGGATTATAGGCGTCTGCCACATTGACCTATATTCATGCTTACATCTCCACCTTGACCTATATCTATGTCCACACTTTACATCCTGAACCAGACCCAGGCCTATTTCTTTACTTATAGTTATAACTATACCTTTAAATCTCCCTTTAATTATTTATACCTACATACTTAAATGCCTTAAGTGATGAAAGAGACCTTGCCAAATTGAAGGGAAGGAAAACAAGACAGAGCAGCCCTGGACTATGCTTGCTATGGCAGCTCAGAGTATGTAATTCAATGTGGAAAGAAAAAAATGGGCAGTTAACAAGTCAAGATTCTTCTTTTTTTCCTTTTTTTTTTTTTTGATATTTTTTTCTCCCCTAAATCTAACAGAGCCCAGTTCAGATTAGAATCATTTAGCATTTTAAGCCTGTGAAGACTTAGTACAAGATTCAAATACTGATGAGTGTGTCTGTGTTTCTGACTTCCTTCTTCATGGGTGGGCAGGTGGTCCTTGCTCCCTTGTGTCCGCTGGCAGTAGCTAGGATACGTCATCCTGGCTCGCACAGGCTTGAGCAGAGGCTGCCTGGATGTTCCTACCTGGCTATGTAAGCTGTCTACAAACAGGCTGAAGTGTAGCCAAGAATCACAGGTTTGACAAATTAGGCACAGAAAGAAAAATAGATTCCATTTCAAAATTATGTGTGTTGGAAGAAAAATCCAAACACACAAAATATAAAATACATCTATGTGAAATGCTGCAAGGATCTATGCCATGGCATCCTTGTCCTGAGTGTCCTTTCCTCTTCTTCCTAGTCTCTGCCTTTTAGGGATTTCACTAGCAACAAAATCACACAGGAAACTCAGGCTGTTCACAAGCCTCTCATGTGCAGGCTATGCTCAGATATTCTTTGCCACAGAAGCACAGAACATTGCCTCTGGGAAGGAAGGAAGAGTAGCCAAGGTTAGTGAATGTGCACTGCTCCTGGCCACATCCATGCAGACATTACTACCTGAGAACAGAGCCATGGAATTGGCCAGTGGCAGGCATTACTAATCAGTTTCCATTAGCACATGTGCTGCTCTATCTCATTGGTTTAATTCCATCTCACTCATTTACACAGGTGGAAACAGAAGCCTAATGTTCAGGCTTGTAAATTGGGTTCCACTTACGTTGTAGCCAGTGAGTACCTAGAGCCCGCTCATCACAAGGGGTCCAGGCACACTCCTTCTGCTGCACATGCTGCCCTGAGTGTGGTGGGTAGAACAGGCACAGCCCAAGGTGGTTTTAGTTCTCTGTCTGTTTTGCTGATATTAGCTACAAAAGAGCCATGTGGCTGCACTATGGTTTGTCCTGTAAAGTAAGTCTACACTCCATGTCCTGATGCTAATGTTACCAGCCTTTCCTCTTTGATTTGAAACAGACTCACCACTGTGAATCTTAAACATTCTTGTGGTTTCCCACACATACTCCACATTCTCTCCCCTCTTGCTTTTCCCCTTGCTTGGGTTGCTGTTCCTCCAGCTTCCCTGGAGTAATACCAAACTACTCCAGAAGTCCTCCCTCAAGCACTCAAATCCATCTAGCTTCCCATTGTCCCCTGAGCCTCCCTCTAGTATAATCCGCTGCCTGAGACTGCTAGTGTCTAAGGCACCCATGACCCTTGGCTTGCTCAAGGCCATGCTGGCACAGAGGTAGCCTTCAGGGAATGTTTGCTAAACTGCATTTAATTTGAACAGCACCCATCTGTTTCTGTTCTCTGGAACAAACACAGAACTCTGTGCCTGTACTTTTTTTCAGTTTACTTTGCCTTTCAGCCTTTTTCATGCATCCACTTCTAGGCAGACTGTGGAGATGACAAATTAATTCTGTTGTAAAATTCAGATATAGTAAAATAGAAATAAGTATCACAACTGGAGTTGAAGACTGTATGGTACATTAAAAATGTATTTTTCATCAATCTAGTTCTTTATCTTAGTAACCTCAACCTACCCTAACCCTGCTGTGCTTTTTCATCTGTACTCTATTTTTTAGCTAAATGAACAAGATTCTATCACATGTAGTACAGCTGAGCAAAGAAACTGTGGTTCTGTGTGTATGATTATGTGAATGAGTATGTGTGAAGTTGTGCTTTTTAAAACAAAATTTGCTGTTTTCCAGCATCCCAAGTGGATTGTACTGAAGAAGATAGGCCACAAGCAGCACCTTATTAATCAAGCAGAGAATTTTCTAGACTAAATGCTAGAGGAGCCTTATATTTTTCAAAAGTAAAGCAAATTTACTTTCCTAAATGCTAGGTTGATTGCAGACCAATGACTTCATCAGTTGACTTCTGTTATAAAAAAAATAAAATTTGGTTCT